ATATGTTTGAAGGTTTTCATTATTACTTTAAAACTTCAGTGTTAACTATATGTATAGGTATAATACTGTTGAAAAAAATTACTTATTTTTTGTTGTTATTGTTAAATATATTGTTACAGAGAGATATATTTGTATAATATTGTTAAGTAAAAGGACAAAGATATTTATTTATATGGCACGTTCAGTAGTATAATTGAGATCAAGTCATTTTTTTGGAATTTTAATATAATAATGAATTATAAAAAATAACGCTAATAATGCATTCAATTTATATTTATTTTCTATAATACCACAAATGTATAATGTGTGATGTTATATTATATATTGTAAATTGTAAATGTAACTTTATAAATAAATAAATTGTTAAAAATAAAAAATTATGGAAAAACAATATTTGTAAAGTGTTTTGTCAATACAATTGATAATAAATGTGATAATACATAAATGTTTTTATGTATTTAATGGTTTATTTGGAGTATACTATACATATTAACAATAAATAGTTCATATTCTGTTGTGGGTAAGTATAGAATTTAATTAGAAAATATTTCAAAATTTTATAAAAATGAATAAATGAATTTTAATGAACATTATTTATTACTGAATTCATAGTTTATGAAATGCTAAAAGATTATTGACAGATATCCTCCTAGCTTTTCTTATAAATCATTTTACAGTGAAAAGTAAAGGTATTATCTTATATGCATTTTATAATACAAAATATGAATGTTACACTTTTCATTGTAAAATAAGTACAATGTAAAATGAATTCATAAATATGTTTTCTATTATATCTTACTTTTTGAAGGGAAATCTTTTAATTTGTACATGTGTTTGGCAAAATAAAATTTTTTAATAAATATGTGCATGGCTGAATAAAAATGTACATTTTAAAGATATGTTATATTTTTCCTATTCTGTGTACTGACCAAGATCGGAATAGTTTCTTTATGGATTTACTTTTATGTTCTCTCCCATGAGTAATTTGTATTTCTAATGATGCTCCATTATTTAATGCTAGCCATGTATGAATTTCATCAGTAGCTGCAGAAATACCTAAATGTAGTACAAAATAATACTATTTTACATATTTGGTTACACACATATTAACAAAATATTAATTATTTTAGGTTCCAGAAGTTTTTAAATTTATGTTAAGGTTGATTTGCAGTAATCCTCGTTAGGAAGTGAAACGATGGGTAATTTTAATCTTTCAAGTGCAAATTTATGTAATGTTAATTAATGCCGTAACTGAAATTAGAAAACAATCAATAGTAAACATTAATAAGCATTTGAAGTTCGGAGTAGGATGATTTCATTAGGTCAAAAAATTTGAACGTTTTTAAAGTGTTCAGAGCAGAAAGAAAGAAATAGAGATAGAAAAGATGGGAATAGAGAAAGTGCTTTACAATAAAACGGTTCCTATTCGAATTTCACACTAGCCTTGCCATATACATATACATATATGTATGTATATTTTCAATGCTAGGCGAGTTCGAGCAAAGAACAATTGAAGATAGCGAATTAAAAGAAGAGAAAGTAACTAACCGATAGAAAACTCAAAAATACAAATATTGTTCAAAGCACGTTAGCAAAGACGTGGTGACGATATTGCATTCGCTACATGAGAATTTAATTTTTCTATATGTGTAAAATAAAGAAATTTCTTGAGATGAATGTAGTCTAATTTTATCACACGTTTAAGGGCCTCTAGAACCTATAAAATTTGAAACCTGTATGATTAAACAAGATCGCATCGTTTTCGATATATTAAGTTGTTAAGAATCATGCGGGCTACCCTGTATAACTAAACAATCAAGGGTAAGAAGATTTGTAAATTTTTATAAATTAAAAAAATTCGTTTAAATTCCAAAATATTCAAATTTAAATAATCTACTTTAACGCGATAAATTTATCGTGAAAAGTTTTTTTTAATCATATTTACACTTTTGGTAGAGGACTTTTGTTTTCTATTTATTATAATTTTATCGATGTCAGACAAATACATGTATTATCAACGTTTCATTTTGTAATATGGAAATGAAACAGCGAAAAGTTAAAAAATAAAAATAAAATTTAGACTAAATTGAACTTAAACATACCTAATAATTCATGAAGAGTGATGCGTCGACTAGCTAATAAATCTTTACTAGCACTTCGGATTTCAAATATCAATAAAGACTGCCTTGGAACATTGTCACCTTCTACATGAAAGTCTATGCTGAATTGGGGATTGGGCATTGCAGGTAAAAGTTGAGATTTTGCCAATGTTTTGCCACTGTTTGCTGAGGATGCAATTTTATTTGGACTGGTGCATAAATATAAAACATTTTCATTAATGCCTCTATTTATATATCTATATTTTAATGCATACTCACATCTGAAGTTTAATTCTACAGTATAATTGAGCAATATGTGCGACATAGAGACCTTGAGCCTGTAGAACTTTACCTTCTATTCCTGAATATTTTTCCTTAGTGCCATTGATAATTTTCAATTCTAATTCAATAAACATATTGGTTAACAAATTACACTAATTCAATTATACAAATATTGTAAAAAAAGGCAGAACAGAAAATATGCTTGTCGGTAAAACAATAGTGATATTCAAAAATTTTATCATTTTTTTTTTAAGTTAAAGACACTAAAAAGATGTTAGTATAACTCACGAACCATTTGGTCGTAGTCTTAAACGCGGACTAGGTTGTCTTATTCTGCCAAGCATATCGGATTGTGATACTGCATGGGTTAAACCAGATCCTTGTAAAAGCTCTGTGGCATCAGCTTCTCCTCCACCTCTAGGTTCTAAACTCAATGTTATACCCTCTGACTCGTTTTTGTCTTCTATATTTACTTCCGAACGAAATCTACGAAGTTTCAGTCCTCTTTTTACCTAAAATTATTCGTAACAGTATCGACTCTGCTATTAAATATCCATAGAACTGTGTCGGAAAAACAACGAGACCAAATTAACTTTTTTAACAATTAATAACAACGCTAAGACGAAAATATTGTCCCTTCGAAGTTAGTTTCTACTCGTTAACTTGGATATAGGTGATTTTACAATATTTTACATAAACGCATGGCTTGATATAATAATAAAAAAGAGAAACATCGAACCTAGAGACAGAAAATTGAACGGAAACAGAAACATTGAACAGAAAAGTATAAAATAAGCAAATTGGAAATTTCTCCAAAAGTAAAGTAAGGATGTGGAGATATCAACTCCTCGTTATTTATGTTTGCATTGTTATCAGTTCTCGGGAGAAGAGTTCGATCTCGTTAATTTTCCGACACGTTTCATATTTTCAATTCTAAAACGTAGAACATTTGATACAAATAATAATTTTCAATCTTCAATTAATTCTACATTATAATTAAATTATGATATTTATTAAATTAAAGATACTAATTAAAACAAAAAATGTATACAGTTGCCAAAAGAATATCTTTCTTTTCTCGTTATTTTATTATGATCACCTTTTGTTTCATAACGCGAAAACTGTTATACTGCGGTAATTTTTTGCCGAAACTTTGCTCAGGGCTCGGTGTCAAACTGTTGCGAGAATATCGCCGTTCTCTTAACTTTCCTACGGCAGTATCGTCGATCACGTCTGTCACGGATTCCGTGATGACCGTGGGTATCCAAGAATTTTGGGTTCCGTTCATCTCGCTAGAGTCCTTACTGCCAACACTAACTTTGTCTATTTGAAATAAACCATCAAAACGTAAAAGATTTATATAACCTTTACCTCGATATTTGTCGAATACCTATAAAGAAATTTACCAGACTGACTAGAAATCATTGGTTTCAACAAAGTAACTGTACGCGGCGGCGGTGGTGGCGGCACGAAGTCTAAATGCAATCTCATCTTCGATTTTTCCATCGAAGGTCTCCTTATAATGTTCGACATCATTTCGGAACTTTCGATGTTCAACTGTGTTGAACTTTCGCTGATATGGCTGGCTGAGTAAGTGCTTTGAGTCTAAATGAAGAAAAAGAAAAAAAGAAAACGATAAAATAGAAAATTTCGAATTATTTATCTGGTTTGAATAAAGAATGTTGCGGTAACTACCTCGCACTCTTTCGACAAAACCTTAATTTTCAGCTCTACAGATCCAGTTTTGGTTCCTCTTAATGTGAACCAATGGGACTGATCGCTGTTCGATAGTTTTCTGATGTCGTCGAGAGTCAATGATACTTTTCCAAGATAATCTTTCATACCAAAAGTATCATGATCCCATAACACCTGTGTACAAAGCAATCGTTGAATGTTTTAAAGTTGTTTAGAGTGGGCTACATAAAATGGGCCACCTAATTATCCTCCTTAGCTATATTTAAGGGGTCTTCCTACTGTGACGGGTTGAAAAAAATCAATTTTTCCTTCTTTGCATTTTCTTGTTCAATTTAAGAAATACGGTTTGCAGATTTATGTCAATTATACACATGCAGAAAATTTCATCGAAATCGGTTAACGTCGCTACGAGCTAGAAACGGTTAAAGATTGTGAAAATCGCACTGTTTCACGACTTTCAGCCTATAACTGTTGTAAATCTGAACATCCTTACATCTTTCGATGCCTGTCGCTTGTTTCTCCATCAACAATAAATCTACAAACTGTATTTTTAAAATTTTCACTACAGGCTCAGATAAAAAAGTTGTTAAATGTGACCTTTACAATTTTCATTGCGATTTACACAAATTTCAATTTTTTCAAATTTCGTCGAACACGCCATCTGGTAAACTGATCCTTCCAATTTTCCAAAACAGCTCAAGTCGTTTGGGTCAATTTTAAAAAAGTTATTCTTTTTTGAAGGATATGCGGTCAATTTGTTGACTCACTGTATGTATCGTATACTTGATAAATATTTCGTAATAGGCAGAATTGAAACGATACTTACGACATCCAAGGTTTCGCTGCTTCTTGGCAAACCCATGATAGAACTTTCGTCCCAACAGGGATTCAACGTTTTTTTCTTTATGCTGCTCTTGTACTTAGTTTCGTTATTTAATTTCAATTCGCAGAAAGGATCGCTGAAACCGTTCAGATCTTTAGCTACAAGATCTTTCGCGCGTAACAATGTTACTTCCATTAACCCGCTTCCGCTGGAAAGTAGACTGGATACGTCTGACGAAGCGGCATCTATATCCTTGTGAGTTAATAACAGTTTCTAAAGAAACACATAATACGTAAGAGAGCAAAACTAAGATACCACGTCGGTTGCGTTAATCCTCATTAACTGATCTGTATAGATACATTAATGATCGTACCGAGGATTAATTGATAAGCAAGGTCTCTTATCGCGTGGTGTCTTAATAGCGGGAGGTCTATAAGTTCTAACCTGTGCTCGTTTGTCTATGCTACTCAGTTCAAACGTACGAAGTTTCGATTTCCTGCGATTCGACGAGTTCTGCAATTTTTGTAAAAACATTTTTTTCGCTACTTCAATTCCTCGCGAGATATTCCACCGTTTCCAGTTAGACGGAAAACCCTGTGTAACAGCGATTAGTGACAGAATGTTCAGTATACCAGAAGGTTGCGAGTGAATCGAATTTCACACACGCGTGAAAGCAATTCACGACGATGGTTAGATTTCCGGTTGTGCGCGAAATTGAAAGAAGCATCGAAAGGTGAACTGATTTTTCATTCGGTACCGAAGTTGAAGTTGCTGGTGCGGAATTGGATCGAGAGCAAAGCAGAAACTTCTTTCGTGGATGAAACGAAAAAGTGGATAGAACGTTTGACAAAAGTGTGTAAGACTGAATAGTGACTGTGTCGAAAGATAAATTTGTAATTTTGAAGAAGAATCAATTCGTTGTGTTATTTTTTTTTTTTTTTATCAAACTTATTTCAGAGGATTCGAGACCTCACTTATCAAACAACTCTCGTAGAATACTAACTGCCTGTTGTATCCACGGTAGGCTGTTTCTTTTAGATTTCGGTTCGTCGTCTGATATCGGAAAAGTCAAGCTACTTCTTCGACTGGTGACCATTTGCTGTATACTTTTAACCGGATAGAACAATACGGAAACCGCCATCGTGGACATATTATTCGAACCACGGAGAACTAATTCTTTCCTCACTATCCACGTACTTTCCTATAAGAATTTTTATTAATTTTTAGTTTTTCATTAACAGAAACTTATTTTATCTCGTTAATAAAATTTTTATTATTTTCTACTTTTGTTGATTCTGTTGTGGAGAATATTTGCGAATAAGTGATAAAACGAGAAAAGAAAAGAGAATAATACTGCAAATGATTTTTCTGCGCGTTTTAATTACACGATCTTACTTGTGATAAGGTCAATATAGCAAGTCCAAGCATATCGCTCTCAACAGACTTTGATATATTCCACGAATATACGACAAAGTTCAGAGATACTTGAGTATAATCTTGTACGAGAAATTGTGCTCTGGATTCCCAGCATGGCGATGTTGTGCTTCGAATGTAATGAGTTGTTTTCACCTGAACATTAAATTAAACATTTCACAATGGAAGAAATTTTTATTCTTTGCAACAGTGCATTCTAAAGAACGCACTTCTCTTTTTCACGCGAAAAAGCGTACCTTTTTACGATTGTTAAATAATATACAATACGGATTGCAGTGGGAACTGTCGCTATTCAGGTTTTCCGCCGAGTGAATGTAAACCACAAGCACACCTGAAAATCATTTTTAGGCAAAAATCATTGATGGCAAGAACTTTGAAATACAAAACCGTGTAATCTACGGTAAATTATAAAAGGAAAATTGAAACGTTCAAAATTTACATACAAATCTCGCGTTAAAAAAATCTGTAAAATTACCCGACAGGTGTGAATTAAGTTCTGTTAATTCTGGTTGCGGTAAGTCTGGATCCAATTTTGGAAGTGCGGTATATTCTAGTCGGGCGTTAATATTTGGAATGTTAGAGCTGTTGCGTGATGGCTTCTTTTGTTGCAACACGGTTTCTATTCTGTTGCATGAAAATGTGAAAAATATATGTACATATTTATTTCTTGCTATTTTATCTTTAGCTTTTTAGAGGAATTAGTACTCAAAATTTGTCAACTTACACTTGAGAACTATCCCAGTTGTAAACTCCAAGCGCAAGTTCGAATTGCGCCAAAGTGACGGTGCTCACAATTCGTTTCGCTTTCAGCTTGATGGTGATTTTTTCGTTGTCCAAAGCGCCGACCAGGAAAGAAACGTCCTCGTTCCACGTAGTGTTTAAAGGAGTTGTAACCCTCTTCTGATCTCCTATTACAACTACCAGCCATCTCACTTCGTCTCCGTTAGAGGCTACAGAAACCAGAAATATACACGAAATTGTAATTACATCGAGAAACGAAATTCTAACGAAATATGCAACGAAGCGATTAAATAATTTTTCGTGTATATTCAACAGATATCGTGTATTTGATATTTTCTTTAAATACATTTTGTACCATCGTGGAACGTGATAAGAGAGTTTCTACGTATGAATCATTTTATAACAGTCGAATTACCGTTTGAAAAATGGTACACGAAATTTTGTCACCCCTGTACAAATTTTTTCCGCGTAAGAAAAGCTTTTGATTTTAAAGAGCTACGAATTTTATCGTATCACTATTAGAGTAATGGCGAGAGAGACGGACCAGGCAAGTATTTCCTACATTGTCCGCCAAACGTGGAACGCGTTGGTATTCTTTTGTTTTACGGAAAGCGATCGAGCGTGGCTCTCAGTGTTTTTTCTTCCATATCCGGCGGATAATGTAGGGAATACTTGCCTGGTCCGTCTCTCCCGCCGGTCCATCTCTCCCGGAATTACCCTATGTTAATACATATAAAGATATCAATTATATCGTTAATAAATAAATACGCACGATGAATGCAAATAGCATAGTGATTGAAATTATGTTTTCAGCCATATCTGAATTACAACTAAGATGCTCGAGACAAAATGGTTGTTAGTTACATGTGCATAGAAATTTGTGAATAGAATATTTTCACTTTTCACAATGTTTATATTTTATATTAAAATTCAAGAATTTTACGCGTTTGATCTACCGATATACCTGGGTGTCTTACTTACAACAAGTAAACTAATTAGTAAACTAATAATAACTAGTAAACTAATCCTTCTAACTTCTCAAAAACACTCAAGTGGTTTGGTCCAATTTAAGAAAATGGTATACTGTTCTAAAAAGTGTCCGAATATTAACGAAAGAGTAACTGTAATTCAACACTGAAAGTCGAATATCGAAAGGAGAGCTTCGATTGAAAAATCGAAGATGAGACTGCATTTACAATTAGAATCCGTGCCACCACCACCACTATCACCATCACCATCACCACGTACAGTTACTTTATTAAATCCAACGACTATCTAAGGCAGTCTGGTATTTTTTTTTTTTTCTTCTTCTTCTATAGGTATTCAACAAATATCGAGTTAAAAGTTACATAAACCTTTTTTGCGTTTGATGATTCTATTTCAAATAGACGAAGTTAGTATCGGCGGTAAAGACTCTAGGGAGATGAATGGGACCCAAAATTCGTGGATACCTAGAGTCGTCACAGAATCCGTAAGAGACGTGTAATCGATGATACTGCCGCAACAACTTAAGAGAACGACGATTTTCTCACAACAGTTTCACTCCAAGCCCTGAACAAAGTTTTGGCAAAAAGTTACCACAGTATAACAGCTTTCGCGTTATGAAACAAAATGTGACCATAGTAAATAATGAAAAAAGAAAGATATTTTTTTGGCAACCGTATACATTTTTCTTTTAAATAACATCGCTGATAGACATCGTTGTAACGTAGACATGATTAGAGATTGAAAATTATTATTTGTACGAAATGTTACACGTTGCACAATTTACGATATGAATTTTAGTTAGAAAATTAATGAGACTGGCTCGGAGTACATAATTTAGAATTTACTCACTTGAACATGTACATATGCTTCTCTAATAATTTGCATAAACGCACGTTCCGATAACGCGTCACAAAAATAAGGAATAGAACTGTCGAACCACGCAATGCGATTAAATTTAACGGTGAAAATAAAAAAAAGAATTCTGCCAAAACGTAGGAAGAAATCTAATTTACCGATGTTGGTACGTACGAAAATTTATATACCGATGTAACGAAGTGACTTTTAGTAATATTCTTCTATCGAACCTCCAATTTTCAAGTTTCTTTCAAGAAACTTTTCAAGAATTTCATTTACGAATAGAATCTCGATAAACCATCGCACAGTAGAGTATTTGCCTCCTAAACGCGGTGAAAAGTTCTTCTTAATAATTATATCCTCGAAATGAAAAAAAATCTACACAGATTTTTAGTTAATTAAACGTTTGGGCTATAATGTGGTATAATTTCTTTTCATATTTCTTAATTATTAACGGGGCTACACTGCTTCAAAGAAGTCAACCGCAAAATGATTGAAATAAAAATTTATTATTTACAATTTTGTTGTTTTCTGAATTTAACTAATTCATGGCGGGACTAAGTGTACCAAACTTCATTTTCATATTATCGATATTTCTTAAATTATGCTTTATTCAATATTTCCCATTTTCATTGTTAATTTTAAATATGTATTTAGTAGAATTCAGTGTTCTGTCTGGTATTACTGTAAAAAAAAATAATAAAAAAAAGAATTCGCTGCGACTATCCACAATTGAGGTAGCTACAGTGATTTTTATTAATATTGACATCAATGGCGCGTCACCGTTACGCGGCTTTAAAATCGACCTTATTATTTATCGACCTATAAAATCGACCTAATTATTTAAAATTTTATTCTAAATTTTACATGATTTCGAAAAAAGTATTCCTCACTTTGCCCCATATTTTCAATAATTTATCAATAAACGTTGTTAAAAAATAATTTTTATTTATTATTCTGTACCAACACGACGCCACAAATAAATGCCCAAATTGTAGAAAATAAAAAAACAAGGGATAAATAAAGAGATTTCAGTCGGAAAACAGGTTTAACCGCGTTTCAAAGGCAAATACCCCACTGTGCACCGGTGCGTTAAGATATTAGAAGTTCCTCGAACATTCTTTCGGTTAACAATTTTCCACCGAATTATTTCAGACCGATGTTTGGAAAAGTGGATTAAAGGATACTTTCGTTTACCTTTCGAGTTCCCCAGAAAACCTCTTTTTAAGTTACCCATAAGCAATGACAGTGTTTTTCATGCCAAACAGATGTAAATCAGGGGGAGAAAACAGTATATTAAGACAGAGAAAAAAATAAAATAAAATAAATAGCAAGAATCATTGTTATCTGTTATCTTCAATTTACCAGCGTGTCCGTTCTGTGTTAAAACAACAGTGAGCACTCCGTGTGGTATGGAATTAGCCATTGAATCGAATCTGGGCCCAGGGCGTTCTTCCGCTTTCAGATCCATTTCCAAGTGACCCGGATCAACAATCCAGCTAGTCAAAGCGTCCGTGACCACAGCATGAATCCAGGTCTTAATTAAAGGCATTTCCATCATTTGTACCGCTCGCAGGATTCTCACACTGAACCAAACGTCCGGTTTCTCCAAGAAACTCACGCTTAAAGAGGTTGCGTGAGGAAATGGCGCCATGGAGTTAAGGGTCAGGGTGGTGAGAATGGTACCTGACAGAGATAATTTCTCCACAGCCAGATCAACGTCCATGCCAACCCTTTAATTTAACAGGAAATTATCGCTTGAGATCGGTGACATTGATCGTTCAGTTTATACTTAAAATCGTTGAAATGTAGTGAAAATAGGGTTCGTTTAAGTATAGTAAAAGTAGCTTCTTAATGAATATTTTACCAAATTCTAACTAATTTTTCGTCTATTTTAAAATACGTCTTATAGTCTTACAGTTCTTACAAATTTCTTGCAATTAGAGTTCCTCAAGATTTGTACTTTTATCTTTAAAAATACATATTTTATTTATATTCAAAGATTCACATTTAATTGGTTCTTGCACAAAATGCACAGTGTTTTTCTCTATTTTAAAATGAATCGTTGTTTGTTACAACGAGAACTACACGTTCCATGGAAAATCGAAAATTTAAAGGTCAAGTAGAATTTCCACGTTCGTTGAATTTTCATTCGATTGTTCGATGCAACTATTGAATTAACTACGTTGCAAGCTCTTTGAGTGAATTTCATTCGTGAATTTAATTGAATCGCGACATATCTAGGACATTGTAATTATCGCACGTTTCTGTTTCCCTAACTCCGTGTAATCATTATTTTGTATTGCTAAAACTGAAGAGATCGCAACGTGAAGTTTCATTTTGTTAATAAACGCGTAGATACATACTAACCCTTTCCCAAATAATCTTGTCGTGATAAGCATGCGAAATTGCTCGCAATCGAGACACACGTCTGCTTCAATGGACAATTTCGTTTGCCCCGTTTGACTGTCGATATCATCGTCGTTCGTGTAATCTAGAGTTCTTATTCGTGTGACACAGGGGGTTTGTTCACCCAGAGTGAGTTCTCTTAGTTCCAGTGGCCCTAGAATTAGATTTTTCATAAAGCTCGTTCATTTAAGTTCATACACGTGCAAATAAATTTTTTAATAAGTGCTCCATTTCACTCGTCAATTTCTCTGTTTGTATATTTACAAATATCCATACTTCGGTCAGACCAATTTAACTTTAACTCGTCAATTTTTAAATCCTTCAAAATTGATTTCCTTTGGGAAATATTCGTGATCATGCTTGTTTCAAACATTTAACGATGGTATAACAGGATAAATTTATTTTACATTGTAAATTAAAAAGAATAGGAATAATTTTGTTTAATTCGAAATTACAAGTATATTAAGTTGGAATTTTAAATTCTTCGGTCAATTAATTTACAAATTTGAAGAAATTGGTAATCAAAGAAATTAGAATAAATGCTATTTTATATTGTATTGTGATACGGTTGAACAATAATTTTCATTATTCTTCTAACCAATTAAATTATTCTTCAGAAATTTCACGTTTGATAATTTTCGATAATTTCGTAATTTTTAGAATTTATTTTTTAATCACTAATTGTGAGACTTACCAAGTATTCCCGGCTTAGCTTCGTTTAACAGAGGTTCCAGCCTTTCCTTCGCTAAAGAAAATATACTGGCAGCGCTAAATCTCCACCTGTATCATGGAGGAGATTTTAGATTACAAATGTGAACGGGGAAAACAACATCTATACGTACACATGTATATTACAAGATAACCGATTCGTAAGAAGGTAATTAAAAATCACTAGATAGCTCTGAAATACAAAGGTAACGTATGAAAGAGTACATTTTACAAAACCAAAGTCTACCATAAATCAATATTCAATTTGAAAAAAATTATCTCGTCAGTCCTATCAAAATATTTAGCTAATCAACTCTACTTTCGTCAATTAAATTCAATTTTAATTAACGGCGAAATATTTGTTCCCATAAATCTTCCTAATTTGCAACACTATATTTTTGTTCCAATTAAAACTACTGTTTAATTATTCGAGTGGTTAGATTACATCTATCAAATTCTTAACGTCACGTAAAGTGGACCATAAATCAACCTAACTAATTTAGTGTATTAATAACAGTGTTCTATTTTCAGATGATAATAGGAAGGTTTGCAAGTGTTTAGAGCGTGAATCTCTTAATCCGGGCAATTTCATCGATACATCAAGCAGACGAGAAGAGACACTATCAAATGTTCTCATTTGCTTTGATACGATAAATAAATTGAACCTGTTTTTTAATATTCAAATTCATTCCACGGTAATTTCCAACAATTCTGCAAAATTTGCTAAACGATTTCATAAAATTTATCGCAACCATTAAATTAAATTATTCTTCTTCGAAATTGTAATTTTCCATGTGAGATAATAAAATTTCCCAGTGAAAGTCACATGAAATTAGATTTAATAATTTCAGAAAAAATTTTCCAAAGAACTGAAAGTTCCTTCGATCTTCATAATACTCCGCACAAAACGTAAACAGTCAGTTTAAGTGTTTCATTTAGAAGAGAAAGTAATATGTAAGTTATTAAATTGAACGAGGAATCTCTTCTTACTTCTCATAATTGTTCTAAAATTGTTGTACATTGAAATTTAAAACAGAAAGTATATACAGAGCAAGCCTTGTAATAATAAGATCACTCGAAATACTTTCTAAGTTATGTAGTTGATTGAGAATCTTGAAGAGTCTTACTTTAATAACACTTTTTCACTAAATCGAAATTAATCGTTTAACCCGTACTTCATAATACAAATCTTTTACACATTGTTATCGTTCGAACGGTTTCACTTCTTCTATAAGAAGAAAATCTGTCCTCACGCGAAGCTATTGGGTCGTTCGGAAAGTTCGTAGCGAAATTTAAACCGTCGTATCTCTGTTTCTAATTGACACAGCGACAAAAGTCGAACGGCATTTTTCTCGACAGTTGAAGGCGAATCCAACGCACTGCTCGAATAATTCGTAATGTGAACGGGGGTGGATGTAAATCGAATTGTATGTTTTGCAGTGGAGCGTGGATGTTGAATTTTTCGTGGCAAAGCTCCATCGTGGAAAGTATAGTCCGCTTTGGGAGTAATTTCAGAGGTGCGTTGGATTTATCTTCGAAAAACGAGCAAAATACCTTTCGATTTTTCATGGCTAGCTCGATTAGAAACAGAGATACGTCAGTTTGAATTCTTCCTACATTTCGCTGCGAATTTTCCGAACGACCCAATACTTAGGGAATACCCTTTTCTTTTCGTTCACCTCCAATCTAATTTCTTTCGTGAACTTGATACCACGAACGGGTAAAAAATCACCCGCAAAGCTTTTGTAACGGATTGTTATAAGCCGAGGCAGTTTGTACAAGCTAACCGCTGTGTAACGATAATCGCAGGAATTCATTACCGTACACCGCGGCGAAAGGAGCATTAACCGGACATCTATATCTATCTGGTTTAGTATCACAGTAGGATGTCGAATTGCCAGGTCACGCAAAGTGAAATTCAAAATTATTTGAAATAACTGAAAATCCTCTATTTTTCTTGTTATTTACGAGAAATTTATTCGTCACTTAATTCATCCAGGGGATAAAATTTAGCGGTAATTTCGAAGGACTTCTCAATTCGATCTGATTAGCATACATAAGTCAGCATATTTGAGAAGAGCTCCATTCAATTTTATACGATGATACTGGTAATTTTGAAAAAATATGGAATGTTCATATCGGAAAGAATATCAAATTCATAGAAACATTGATAATTATTAGATTTAAGGTTAGGGTGAGTCACGTAAAAGAGGCCGCCATTTTTGTTGCGTTGGGGAAATTTACTTCGATATAGGGATATAGTAATTATAACCTGAAATGTTGAATGCAATAAATAATTGCTGAATTGAATATGAGTAACAGTTAATGGGTATTGAAGGAATTTATTTTAATTATAGATATTACAGTGATTATACTAAAATAATAAATAATTACTGAAAAATAAGTAAAATATAATATACAATTATATTCTCTAGCTATGGCGGTACAAGAAAATTTTTACAGGATTCAAATGGTTTCAAAGGCTGAATGAGACGAAAGAACAATTTTTTGAACGGAAGAAATGGCAAAAAATGAAAAGAAGGCTCACGTTTGATTTAAAATTTTACAATCCAAGGCCATTTTAAGGTCGTATCAATGTCTGCTACAATGTACAGTAGAAAAAAATATATATTTGTGTAAAAAAACATAGGTGACCTTGAAAAGAAATAGAAAAAGTGGCATTCATAAGAAAAAATTCACCTTTTGAAGCCACTTAAATTATGCATCAAAGTTTCTCGTACGACCATAGTTAGAGTAGATAATTAGGAAGCTTGTTTCACATGGCCCACCCGGTATGTAAATTGACATAAAATTAAAGGAAGAAATGTAATAGGTAGTTAAGCTTCAACAAATTTGTTTATACAATTGAATGATTTATTAATTACTTAAATTATTACGTTAATAAGCAAGTATCATCAGGTTTTATCGTAAATCATTCCTCACATTTACACCGATAACTCATCATTCTGTCAATGACTTCTACATCTCACCGGCGAGCGTAACTATCTTCCGTTGGCTGTGTTAGTTTTGTGCGTAGAGAACCAAAAAGGATCGGTGGTCAGAAATTCTCGAACAGGTCTATCAACTATCCAAATAAGTAGTACTCTTTCCAGACAAGTTCTCACGTGTTGTTTTAGTGTCTTCGGGACCCTGACAAATGAGAAAATGTCGGAGAGGGGATCGTTTCACTCTAGCACGATATATGGCCAGCAGGTGCAAACCTATTGCAACAAGGATGTAGCCATGTTTTTCGATGCAACGTTTACTATAAAATAGACAGATTTTTGAAGTGGTCAATCTGAAAGTATTCCACTTAAAAATTATCTTCAACTAGCCACTCACGATCAAGTTTATGTGAATAATTGTCACGTATAATTTTTACTTCGCAGAAAAATTTTGCCACGAAACGTCATACAATCCAATATTGGAATATTGACAAATTTTCTTCAAATAATGGACAACTAGTAATGTATGAGAGATTGTACATAAAGATACTATTTTTATATAATTTTTGTGGCATAAAAATTATTTAAAGAAATTAATTTGAAATTATTTGAAATTCGTTAAAATT